GACGCACTTGTGGTTCTTATTCCACTTTGATGCATGTGGGTAAAAAGGGGTGATGGCTCCAAGGCCAAAATACGAGGATCTGTGCAGGTCTTTGAAAGTCGTGGGAAAGAAGGACAAGTGCCGGAAGAAATCGAGGGCCAAAAAGAAGCAGTCGAAAGAGCATCGCAGAAGCGGCGCCGGCCCCTCTGCGAAAACGGAGCACAAGCGCAGCCGCAAATCCGGATCGAAAGTTGTAGTCCCTTCGAGTGCACGGGAGATTTCAACGTTGAAAGAACGTAACGAGTCGCCCCCCTCGACCCCCGTCCGGGGAAAGCGCGGAAGCGGCGCCAAGAACCGTCCGCCAAGGGCCCCGGAAAAAAGATCGCGGGATGATAGAAGTGCGACTACGCACCGCAGAAGAAAGAAGAGAATATCCTACAAAGACGACAGAACAGTGGAGACAATCGATCTTAGAGGGTCTGACGACAGGCACAGCGGACCCCAAGTGGAAGAAGAGGAGGAACACGACCGTTCCGCGCCAGAGAAGTCAGATGGTGCGGAGGACGAGGGGCCAGGAAACGAGGGAGACGATAGGGATTCTTCACGCAGAGAATCGCAAGACACCGATGAGGACGACGACAGCGACGGCAAGTCGGCCAGCGAGAGAACCGGCGAAGACCAGAGCGCCGCTTCGGAAAGAGGTGGTTCGCCATTTCCTTCGAGGACGCTGCGCAGAGAAGGAGAACGACAGGCACGCAATGACAGCGACACCGAGGAGCGTGTCGGTGACAGACAAATCGTACAGCACGTCAGTGCCGCCGAAAAAGGTAAAAAACCCCGCGTCGCACTGACTCCCCTCCCACTCCGATCACATAATTCTGTGCCCCCACACGGTGCATGCCTTTACGCACGGAGAAGTGTCTTTGTAAACGCACAACTGATAGCCGAATCTTCAATTTTGCAAGTGCTGTATTCAAAACAAGGCGCTGAGTTGTTAACACTCTCCTATGCGTTGTGTCTTCTGTTTCCCACCGATCGCAACGTCACGAACGAAAGTGCGCGCAAGCGGCGGAGCCGTGCAAGGACCGAAGGACGAGGGCGCCGCATTCGCGAAGAAAATGAAGGGCAAGCTGTTGCGTTCCGTCGCCAAAGCCTTTGCGTTCTCTGYGGCAAACGACGCAACTCTGTACCCGACAGAGGACGCGTTTTTCGCGGCGGTGCAAGCGACGRCGAAAYTGGCAGGGGAGACAGCAGAGGAAGGGCTGCGGTCTCACATAGCAGAGTGCGGGATTCGAGCTATCATAGGGGAATGCAACAGAATGATGACGACGATCCGCGGAGAGATTACATGGCAGCTGAAACATT